GGGGGAGAGGAGGCTGGGGGAGGGAGGGAGGAGGAGGGAGGGAGAGGAGGGAGGGAGGAGGAGGGGAGGGGAGGGGAGGAGGGATGAGAGGGAGAGGGGAGAGAGAGGAGAAGGGGGAGAGAGAGAGAGGAGAGGAAGAGAGGAGAGAGATCAGGAGAGAGAGAGCGGAGAGAGAGAGAGAGAGAAGAGAGAAGAGAGAGGAGAGAGAGAGAGAGAGGGAGGGGGGGGGGGGAAGGGGAGAATAAAAAGGAGCAAATACCAAAATGTAAAAAGAAAGAAAAAAACAAAAATTAAATCATAAATGGAATGCAGTGAACTGAAGATTATTCAGTAACTATAGTTAACACAGTATCAGTTCATTCAATTCACATGAAGAAAACAAACAGCAACCATTTCCATATATAAAAGCTGTCCTACTGTTTCAAAATGCAAAAGAAACCTCAATATGGACAAACCATTTCCGAGTCCTCAGCATCCTCGTAACCTGGAGGCATGAGCCAGAATGAAGGAATTTCATCCTCACCACAGGGATTGTCCACACAATCCTTGACGTAAATAGAGTCTGCAGTGTCTCTGTCTCAGGCCCAGCTGGTTCAGCAAGTTCTTCAACAGAAGGGCAAAATTAGGGATACGACTGTGCTGGCTTCCTATGAAAGGAAGCCTGGAGATCAATAACAGCAATAATGACAGATCTAATATATTTGAAGAAAAAAAATTAATAATACTCTACTATCCACGTCTCATATGCTAAAATGAACTTGGAAATATTGATAAGTAATTCCATACACTAACCTTTAACTTCAAAGGTGTGAGCTTGGTCTAAATCTGCTATCAGGTTGCGAATCTCTTCATAAAGCGATTCCATGGCTTCCTCCTCACATCCTTCAGCCTGTTAAAATCAAGTAAAGAAAAGTAATATAACCAAATATATAACTGTCCATGAAATCCTTCACCTTACAGCTACCATTATATGCCAAATATTCATATCCAATTGTTTACATTTACACTCAATAACCTTTTCAAAATCATATTTCTTGCTAACATATTAGTCTTATACATTCACTGTTTATTTCTTAAATGGTGAAATGTAAAACAAAAAAGAAGTTGGAAATGCTGGTAAATCAGACACCATCTGCATAGCCCACAAAAAATATAAAAAAGTAACGTTACCACAACTTGCTTTTCTAAACAGCTTTAAAGGATGAATCAACTCCAATGTGTCTTCCTCTTTCCTGTGTTCTTCTTTCTTTATTTTTTCTTCTCTTGATCTCTTCCTTTTTAAATTCCTCTTTTTTGGCTCTTCCTCCTTTTCTTCAGTTGGTTCAGCTTCCTCTTGTTTCACTTCTACTTCATTTCTTTCTCCATAGACTCATCCTCCTTTTGGCTGCTTCCTGGTTCTTCTGCAGATGCCTCTTTGACTGTCTTCTCTTTTTCCTTTTCTTTCTCCTTTTCCTTCTCCTTTTCTTCTTTTTTAACTGTTTCCTTTTTTTCCTGTGCATATTTTGAATACTGCATCTCTAAACCTCCAGCCTTCCAGCCTAGGTAACTTGCTACTTCCAGGGGAGTCACAGTTAATGTCCGTGGCACTGAGATGGAATCATCGCATGCTATTAACAGGTGGCAAAATTCCAGTGCTCCCTGAAGTGTCGTCACATGTTCCTGTGACTCTTTTCTAAATGATGAGCTCAGTCTCTTGAAGAGACTTAAAAGACAGGCTCTTTTCTTCTCCATTACACTGAAAAATATAAAATAGTTATATTCAATATTCTCAATATTGATCCTAGACTTGGCATACTGCATTTGGTCTTCAAAAATGCCAAGGAAGATTGGTTTCTTAAAAACATTAATAATCAGATTCAATATACTTCATATTAAAAACAAAACAAAAAAACAATGCCTACCAAATATCCTTTCAGCCCTATACATCTATTCAAGATAGTGATATTTGTTCTAACCTTACACATATGATATATATTTTCAACAATTACCTTTTAACATGATAAAAGCCATAATCATGCTCCATGAGTCTCATGAGGGCTCTCAAGACCTGCTGAATTGATTGATGGGAACTATGTGGGTTTCTGAGATGATCAATCAGAGCATCAATTATTGGTATCAAGGTATCCTTGCTTGGCAGACCACTCAGAGTCAATGAAGTTGTATTGGGCTCTTGTGTCTCCCCTTCCTGCATGGTACATTCTTGGGCAACATGCATTGCATTTTCATGATCACACAAGTACTGAATGATCGTGAGAAGGCAGTCCTGAGCCTGTATATGGGCATGTGAACCACTAGCTGCTACATTAAGAATACGACACCAAAGAGCTACAAGGCCCATGTACTTGTCATCCCCTTTGTTGGAGTGGCAGACAGTGTAGGAGAGCCTCCCTGAAGCAAATGTAAAACTGCAGCTTTTGTGGGAGCATGAGATACCAAGAGTGCTAACATGTTAAGAACACGACCTGTCTGGAGAGAACATGGGCCAAAGTCATCACCAGAAGCTCGGTGATCTACTCTGTGTGCCTGCATTACCAGGTCCAGGGTTGCTCTTCCAACCAGCAAGGCCATGGGGCTGCTAGATCAGACAAAGCAACGCACATTCTACGGAGAAGGTGCATGAGAGGAGGGAAGCTTGCCAGGCCTAATCTCATGATTATTTCATGAATGTTGGAGGAAAGACAGTACAGATGGGCACTCCAGAGTTTCCGCAGATTGATAATCTGTGAAGACTCTTCCTCTGAGAGAGATGTTCGGGTCTGGATGGGTAATGGCAGTGGTAGCAACTCTATGATGAGACTGATGACTCCCATGAATGTGTGTGGAGCAGTCAGAAGGAACTTGAAAATCTGAAAATATATGCACAGATAAATTAATAAAAATACAATAATACTAGTAATATTCTGTAACTTACATATTGGTACATGCATTCTGTGTGTGTCTGCATGCATGAGTGCATTATGTATGTGTGTATGTATGTATGTGTGTGTGTATCTATGAATGTATATATGTATGTTGTATATATATATATGTATGTATGTATGTATGTATATATGTATGTGTATGTGTATGTACATGTATGTGTATGTATATATTTCTTTATGTTTTTGTTAATGTTTATGTATATGTATATGCATGTGTAAGTGTGTGTGTGTGAGTGTGTGTTTGAGGAGTGTGCATGTTTGAGGAGTGTGTGTGTGAGTGTTGAGTGTGTGTGAGAGTGTTGAGTATTAAACTGTGAGTGAGAGTGTTGAGTGTTGAAGTAAGTGTGTGTTGAGTGTGTAGGAGAGTGTTGAGTGTTGAATGTGTGGGGGAGTGTTGAGTGGTGAGTGTTGAGTGTGTATGTGAGAGAGTGTTGATTGTTGAGTGTGTGTGACAGTGTTGATTGTTGAGTGTGTGTGAGAGTGTTCATTGTTGAGTGTGTGTGGGAGTGTTGAGTATTGAGGTGTGTGTGAATGTTGAGTTTTGACAGTGTGTGGGAATGCTGCGTGTGTGTGAGGGTGTGGAGTGTGTGTAAAAGTCTGAGTGTGAATGTAAGTGTAAGTGCAAGTGCTCTTTTAAGTGTGTTTTTGTTACCTCTGAGTCTCTGTATGGGTATTTATGTTTATGTCTGTGCATGTATGTGCCTTGTGTATATGTATCTGCGGGTATCTGTGTGTATCAGTGTGTACCTGAATGTACTTCTTTTTAAATTACTTTAAATGGTTAATAAACATAGTTTTAGTTTGAATACCTTCAGGACTCCCTCTTGCCTTGCAACAAGTATATGTAATAGGCATATAATCACATCACTTGGAACCATTATAAATAGACTTACCTCTGACATCATTTTTGTCCACAAACTCTTGGCCAAGACTTCTTCTCCTTCAGCCTTGGAATAAACAGGCTGTGTGTATACTAGAAGTATACTGATCACCTCCTGCTGGAGGTCCTGGGCACGGGTGATGTGTTGTGAACCAAGTGGGAATGACTGAAGCAAGAGGTAGGTTTGCACAAGGGGAACAATTGCTGTGAGGTCCTTGAAGTTGGTGTTCCTAGCCTGAATAACGTATGTCAGTATGTTCTTTAACAGGCTTAATGTAGGTTCAATCACAGCCAAGAGTACTGCACCTTCAGAGCTGGCAAAATCAGCACTATGAACATAAGGTTGGGAATACATGGCACACAACTTCGTAAGAAGGTTTGTCAAGTGAGTGTGGCAGTCTGCTGAAAAAAGTTGCACAGTTGCATATTTGTACTTCAGTTCTTCAATCATCTCACCATTATGATCCTCTGCTGACAAACTCGACACTGGGTACTTGGGCACTGTCAGGTGCTTTAAGATACGTAAATGTGTCACTAATTCACCAGAAAACTTGTCTATCTTATCTAAGTGGTCTTTGAGATTATTTGATATATTAGTTAAATTGTCATAAGTAAAGTTTTCTGCAGATCTGGTAATTGATAACCATGGAATTATCTCGCAAAGCTTAGCATGTTCTTCCAGTTTGGGTCCTTCACGAGTCTCTTCATATTCAATCAACTCAAGTAACTTTTCCCCATAACGTTCTAGCATTTCTACATTGTCAGAAAACTTGACAGTCAGCACTATGAGATCTACTGTATAACCATAACATGCTATTCTTGTTGGGGCATTGTCTTGATCATCACCAATTCCCAACTTAAGGTAAGGAAACAAAATTTCAAGATTCCTTCCCAAACTCAAGACACTGATGATGGCTTGCGACCAGCAGATGAAAGGAGGAGGGAAGTTAGCATGTTGAAGTGTGTCACTGACTGAGAGTAATCAGTGTTGTGGGATGATGTTAACTGGGCCAGTGCATCTAACTGCTGCAAAGCATGGAATATGTGTATGATTTTCAACCCCAACTGGTGTAGGAAGTTGTCATCATTACCCTCTTCTCGTCCATCTTCCCCAAACTGTGGGTAAAGAGTGATGCAATGTATATATTAATAATGGTAATAATATACACAAATGAAGCAATGCAATACAAAACATACATTAATCTCATCAAAGGGAAATTTATAATGAAACAGTACCTCATGCAATAACAATGAGTACCAGAACCAACCTGAATAAGGCTCCTGGCGATGGTAGCTGTAGCACGAGGATGTGAAGCCATGTAGTTAAGGCCATGGCCACAAGCAAGCATGCACTCAACCAGGTTTTTCATCTCAGAAATCAGTGTTCCATTCTGGACTGCTGCTAGAGCCCCAAGCAACACTGCTAGGGAGTTAAGGAGGTCTGCATGATCAAACACAAGGTATAACTGAGGGTAAGGATCATGAGGATTCTTTGGCAACTGGAACTGCTTGGAGCCAGGAAGCCACCTGCAAAACAGTGAAGTCCATCACATGATGACAATATGTATTTTTTGAGACACTGGTCTCTACCTCACACCATTTACACTATTTCTCTGAATCCTTATTCTGCATAAAAAAATCATATTTCAACAAGAGATGAAAAGAAAGGGAAATGTGAAATGAAGACAGACCAAGGGGGAAAAAAAGGAACAGTCACATTCCAATTAACGAACAAATATAAATAAATAAAATGAGTAAATCACAATACTAAACCAAAGAACCAATCAAATGAAATAATAAAAATAAATAAAAGAAAAATAAAGAACAAGCTTACCTGTGAGGTTGAGCCAAAAGCTGATCTGCGTATTTGTACACACGTATGATCTCTTGTAAGCACGACTTAATTGCCTGAATGAGAGAATCTGGGATATTGTTGCTCCAATTAGAAGGAAGAACAACACGGTTTTCTGCATCGTCCAACTCCATAGAATCATCTTCAGGAGGCCCCTACCAAGTATAAGTTATTTTTTTGTATAAGCTATATTAAAATTCTACAGTAAACTCTGGCAAGCATGCATACATAGTGAAATAGATTATACATAATTACATCATTAAATCACACAGAATATTACATAACAATACCATACTAGATATTTGCAATATGCTGTTCTCTAAGAAATCATCACATAATACTCATAAACAAGCAAAACATTACCTCTTCCTTTATTCTGTTGTCGTCATCCAGTGGAGGCAAATGAAGAAGAAGGGCTTTTGTGTCTTCATATAGTTTCTGACACACTTCCAGTAGATGAACTTTTCTCACTATTGCTGAGAGGGCCACCTGGGAAAAATATTTTCGTAATAACAGCGAAGAGAATACGACAATAAAAATAATATACAAACAAAAATATGCACAAAGGAAATTCATGGTCATTTATACTACAATTATCCATGAAGCAGCATAAAATCACCAGCCTACCTTTGCACGTGTTTGTTGCACGTTGGAGAGCAACTCAAGAATGAGTTCATATCCATTTTTCTGTGGCTTCTTCTCTTCTACGTCAGCTTCAGAGGTTCTCCTAACAAGTAACGGAGTCCTAGCTCTGTTCTCGTAATTGCATCTATTGTCCTACAAAAAGAGAATCATCACATTTACCTCTGGCATATCTATAAGATAAATACTTAAAAGCTGGTAAATACAAAAGCTTTAAAAATAGAACACTATAGATAAATGGCAAAATATATTACTGTGTCCATAAAATTATAAAAAAAAAAATGCAATAAAGAAATTTATTGCAAAATAAGACATCAGTTTCAAAATCTTAGTGGATATGAAAACCAGGTCTTGTCTTTCAATAAACTTTTTTTTCATGTAGTAGGTTTCCCATCAACCCTACAGATGTGTCACTTACTTAAGAATGAGAAGCTTGATAGAAAGAGCCATGTGTGGCTTGTGGTAAAGATCATATAGCTTATCCATTATATTGTTTTCTAAGAGTTGCTTTGTCACCTCACATGAACACTGTAGTAACAAGTGGGTTAGGCGTACTCCAGCTTTCACATGACGGTCTGTGGAAAAAAAATTCTTGTACACTTTGACTATATACAAGTTGCACATTTCCTGATCTATGATACTGTGCCTATAGTATAATAAAATATCATGAATATATATGTTTACAGACCTATTTACATTATACAACTTCAATCACTTTATGGAAAAAACAATTAAAAATTATCAGACTGCAGTCTTTTCAAGACTAATATCTTCCACCATATCTTATAAACTGGCTGTTGTTGACTCAGGGCAATGTCAAAGTCTAGTCCAATGTTGACCCAATTACACAACTTTGATACAATATCTAAGGAAAAAAATCAATCAATTGTTCAGTAACATGGTTTTATATTCTTTAGTCTTAAAAATAAGTAATGAAAAACATACAAAAATGAAGAAAGGTCTCTAATCAAAGTCTACAATGAAGAATTCATCACAAATGTTGAAATCATTAATATCAATTACAAAGCTTTCAATACTTATCACTATCATTTTTCAAAATTTTTGGTGATCAAATATGTCAAATAAATAGAACAAAGAACCTAATCCTTTCAGGACTAGGCAGTTGTTTGTAACTAGTTCTGTTAAGGACCAAGAAGTTGTGCATAGACTCTGTTAGGAAATATTATGATTTATATACCTTTTTCCCTATTCTATCCAATTTTATCATCTATTATGCACCAGTGTTGCTACATAACCCCCTGAACAGACCATCATACAGTTGCACCTATCGCAGACCTGGCAAGCACATTTCAAACACTGATAAGGATCCCCCTACCTCTCACCTCCTGCCTTCCATGCTTTGCTAGTTTTCATGTTTTCGCAAATCATAATTGATGACTATAATATAATTATATATCTGATGAAAATATCATAACAGTTATAAGAATAATGATGATGATAATAATAACAATAATAATAATAATAATAATAGTAATAACAATCATAATAATAATAACAATAATAATAATAATAATAATAATAATAATAATAATAATAATAATAACACCATCACCACCAATGATAATTGATACTGATGATGATGATAGTGATAGTAGTAGTAGTTTCTTTAGTCAAACGTTCAATGAACTGTTTCCTACCTTTTTACCACTATCTTTCATTTGGAAAATGCAAATGGTGCCACACACTTGCACAGATGATGCAATGACAACATACATATGTGTACCAAATTGCAGTATTTATGATGATAAACAAACAAGTAACAATTCAACTGATGAAGAATAAAAAAGCAAGCATAAATGAGGAATATCTTCACTTCCTTCTCACTCACCTTCCCCATTCTTGGCCACAAGGAATGGCAAACCTTTGGGAATAAGCTGACACACATTCTCCATGGTTTGCACCCACTTTTCCCCAACTTCCTCATTGGCTTCACCTGCTTCTGCATCCAGCAGGCTCTCTTCTGGGAGGGAAGTGGGACTAGCTGTCTCTATTAATAAGCTCTCCAGTTTTGAAGCCTGGGAATAAGAATGCAAATCAATAAAAGCTTATATATAAAATGCCAGTTTTATAGGGGAAAAAAAAAAAAAAAAAATCATACATAAATGTATGTTCATCGAAAACTTGGTTTTAACTATACAGGTAGTAAATAACATATATTCTAGCTTTATAGTTATGTAACTCAACAATAATGAAGACTCAAATTTCCTATGATATCAAAAAGTCAATAGACTAATTTCAATTCAAATAATCTCCAAGATTTTTAAAAAGCAAATCAGTCTATAAGATACCCAAGTCACTGAAATTTTCTAAATATAAAGAATTTAATCTGGAGCTATTTGTGGTATGGCAAGTAGGGATTATCTTGTGTTGTACAAATAGGCATCAGAAGACCATTCCATCTGTTAACACAACCATTAACTGAAGTCCGATGATAATCAAAGGTAATTTTCTCCCCTCAATATCACTTCTATCAGCCAAGTTCTTATGGGTGACAGCCCTACACCTACATCAAAATAATTTCTTCCCATTATGCCTCACCTGTGTTGGTTCCTCCTCCAAGTCTGGCCCTTCCATCTCAAATCTATACTTCCACTTCTGGTGCTCCACCTGGTACTCTGTGAGGGTGGGACTAACAAGATGGTTCATCTCCATAAGGTGAAATTGGTCTTGTGAAAAGGGTTTCAGCCAGTCCTCCCACTCTTCCATAAGCCACTCCTCTGTGTATGGATACTCAGGTATGTCTTCCTCGTCACTCATGATTTCCTCATACATAAATCCTTCCACATCTTCTACATCTGATGGAGAAGAAATACAAGAAGAATGGAAAAGATAATCTCAGACGGGTATGACAGAAAAGAGACTGGGATGAAATCTGAAAAGTAGGACCTCTTATGAGTGATAGATAAAAGGAAAAGACAAGATAAAAAAGGAAATCATTTAAAAAATATGAAATGAAATGCAGAACAAAATAGTAAAAAAGTACACTTATGAACATAATAACCATATCTTTGTCCAATTAACAGAATCAATAAACTTACTTTCATCCTGTTGATTGTCATCCATTCCTATCTCATCCATGCAGTCTTCCCCTTGGTATTCCTCTTCCACTTCCCCTGTTTCTGGAGGCAGATCTGGTAGGTCTTCATCATCACTAATAGCCTCCATGTCTCCTGGTGTTGGGAGTGGAGGCAAGACAGTGTGTGGTTCCCTCGCTTCAAATTCTCTATTTTCACCTCGCTCTCGTTCTCTTGCCTCCCTCTCTCTGTATTCCCGAGGAGTCCCACCTCGGCTGCCTTCCTCACTGAAGTTGTCTCCTCGATAAGGTGACCCAGGGGCAGGCAGAGAGTCCAGGGGTGTGCGGGGACGGCGGCCAGATCTATCAGACCTCTCTGATCTTCTTTCATCCCATTCTCTGAAAAAGCAGATATCACATTCATGGTTAATCAATTGGCTTTCTAATTAAATGGCATCAATGATAGCCCAATTCAAGTCTGATTATTTTCCATAATGCATTTATCAGTCAGATCACAAACTTACTCAATGCTGCGTCGGCCTCTTGATGGTAGAGGCTCCTGTGTAGAAAGCCTTTCTTCTTCAAACCGATCCCTACTTTCCCTGCTATGGCGACGTTCTCTATCACGGTCACGATCCCTTTCCCTTTCTCTATCCCTATCCCTTGCACGGTCACGTTCTCGATCTCTTTCCCTTTCTTTTTCTCTGTCTCTGTCTCTATCTCTGTCACGATCCCTGTCTCGTTCTCTTTCTCTTTCCTTCTCTCGTTCTCGATCACGGTCTCTTTCTCTCTCATAATCTCGCTCTCTGTCTCGATCCCTCTCATAATCTCTATCCCTCTCCCTCTCACGATCTCTGTCCCTCTCTCTGTCACCTTCCCGTCCACTCTCTCTTCTGGATTCCCTCCTAGAGCTGCTCCTCTCACTCCTCTCCCATGACCTCTCCCTGCTCCTGGAACGCTCTGCTGATCGCCTCCTGTCCCGCTCTCTGTCTCGCTCTCTTTCTCTCTCTCTGTTTTCTCCTCTGCTGGTTCTCTGGTCTCTCTGTTCTCTCTCTCTTTCCCTGTCATAGTCACGGTTGTGTTCTACGTGCTCTTCTTCCCACTGCTTAGGTTCCTCATACTCCACAGGTGATCTTGGTGGCTGCAAAAGAAAAGAAGATCAACTAAAGATTGCTTTCTATATTTTCTCATAAAACTAAAAAATTCAGAGCCCAAGAAATCCTTATGCAACACCCATAAGGAAAAGTCCACATTCTCTTTAACCAGGCAAAAGTCATTTCCAGGTAACACAGAGATCTCCTACATCTGGCAGGTACCGTTCAGACTAATTGGGCAAAAATACACAAGAATAATATAAAGGAAGGAGAGAAAAAGAGATGAGGAAATACACAAAATTTACAACATAATCTAACCTTCGAATCCCATTCAGGCTGGGCATCCTCAGAAGGATCATGGGAAAATGGCTGCTGCTTGCGCTGTAGAGATAAATTCTAATGACAGACATGCAGCATAAACAAAAATCTATACTTAGTACAGAGTGAAGAGCATGCTCAGAAGTGACATTGATTAATCTCCAGAAAAAAAATTAGGTAAATAAAAAATTTAGAAGAAAAATACAGAATGCCTATATATACACTACACAAGAGACATTCATACCAAGTATTCTACTAACAATATAGAATGTATAGAGGTAAAACTTACACATTCCTGGGTATCCTCTAACCAGTCCCGAATACGGTCATGGGTGTTGACCTTCTCTGGGGGTGGGTGTGGCACTACTTCTCCTCGCTTGGTTGACTTGGGTGGGGTTGGTTCCCTTTGCACCTTTGTCAAATGACCATAGACAGCCAGTGTAATGGTATTGTAGCTCCCTCGAAGCAGAAGTCCATCTGTCGGTACCTGATAAGAAGTTTTGGTTTAGCCTTCAGAATCCCAGAAGCAAGAGCTGGTTTGTACATATTCTAAAAACAAATATATCACTGAATCCATGTAACAAAGCAACAAAGTTATTTTCTTAAAATCTTGAAAATACATGACATTACATATTTCTTACTTAGTCTCCCTCAATAAAACAGATTTTAAGAAAGGTAGAAAGAAATCAAGATCTATATATAAAATTTTCTAAAATGCTACATAATTCTATATTCCTCATCTTCTTGAATATAAAATTTCTAAAATACTACATTACTCTCAAATTCCTTACCTTCTTCTCGAAGTCCATCTGTATGTTCCATGTTGATATATACTGTAGTGTTCCACACTCTCAAAAGTTCCTGCACCTCTTTTGCTCAGGTCATTCACAAAAAACTCTATTTCAAATTGGCTTGGGTTTGTAGCACTGAAACATATATAAAACAAATACACATTTTAAATATACATCATAAGTTCAAGAGAGGAGAGAAAGTGAGTGAGTGAGTGAGTGAGTGAGTGAGTGAGAGTGAGTGAGTGAGTGAGTGAGTGAGTAGTGAGTGAGTGAGTGAGTGAGTGAGTGAGTGAGTGAGTGAAGTGAGTGAGTGAGTGAGTGAGTGAGTGAGTGAGTGAGTGAGTGAGTGAGTGAGTGAAGTGGTGATGGTGGTGAGTGAGTGTGTGTGTGTGTGTGTGTGTGTGTGTGTGTGTGTGTGTGTGTGTGTGTGGTGTTTGTGTGTGTGTGTGCAAGGGTGCAGGTGTGTATATACAAAGGCAAATATGAGCATGATTACTAAAAGTAAAACATAAGATCACACACGCTTGATTAAGTTTTGCACATATAAATCCAATGAAACTTACCCAAGACGAACTCCTCCAGGGAAATCTGCCTGAACTCGAGCACCAAGAGGATAGCTCTCACTCGTCACTTGCAACTGGCCTTGGGAACTGGACCAGGTCCAGCTGAACTTCTGGAATTTGAAGGTTAAAAAAGTTAAATTCAAACTCAACTTCTCTAGTAACAAAACAATGATATGTCAGATTCATTTAAAACATCCTGCTGTTAATGTATTTTGAGCATATCATTTCCCTTTTAAACACTTTGCATCTATATAGTCCTGATAACTTATTCAACAAGCTTAGCATATATTTACATAACATAAACTTTGTGACATGGAGTTGGGGACTTAATCTCTGGCGAGTAATTGAGTGGGGGTCAAGTGGTGGATTCCCCAGCCAGGGGAATTAAGTAATGAGGTGGGTCTAGAGAGTATAGGGTTAGGAAGGTCATTGGTTTGTATAGTAGTGTTTGTGGATTCCCAGAGTGTATCCAAAGCTTGTTAGCTGAAGAATTAGAGATTTTGACTCCAAGGGATGCAGTCAACTTCATGAATAATTACCATAAGCTTTTACCTTTTTAAGGGTAAAGGCTCAAGTACAAATTATGGACATGTTACTGGATATTATTAAGTCACAATATATAAACAGTATTCATCATAACCCTTAGAATAATTATTTACAGACAATAAAATTTAAATACACATTAAAGACTTACTTTCTATAGTGAGATCAGCATTATATGTTTGACTATGCTAATATACATATATATATATGTATATATATATATATATATATATAATATATATATATATTGTGTGTGTGTGTGGTGTGTGTGTGTGTGTAGTGTGTATGTGTGTGTATATATATATATATAATATATATATATATATATATATATATATATATATATATATTATATATATATATATATATATTATAGGAGATGGCCTCATCATGAAAATAACTCCCTATTAGACGTTAATAAGTTAATTCAATTATATGAAGCAAAGGATAAACTATTAGTGAATACCTACTTTCTGGAAACGAAAAATTAAAGATAATAGCAGTCAGGCTAACGTAGGTTTCTAGATCTCCAATCTCATAATCTTCAATACAAACCTGAATAACATGATATTTAATTAAAACCCTAAAACTCCATATGGATAATCATTAATGAGAAGTGAATTCGGGCAATCGGCCCAAAGCCTACAACCCAGTAATTACAGTACTTTACCTACTCATATGATACCCTACTTCTCACGTTTGAAAGCTAGCATAAAAACATTCTTTTTTACAGGTGGTGCTGGTGGTAAAACTTACATCGCTCACTTCATGCGAGAAAGTGTCAAAAAAGAGTAACTCGTACATTTTTCCGACTGCCTCATTCCTCGTTCCTTGTCTGTAAACAAATTGAGGAACCAACAGGAATGATATTATGGTATGAAAAGCTTATATACCAAATAATTATTCTAAGTCTTTTTCATATGTAATTCTGTTCTTTTTAATATAGAATGAACCGATATGTTGTAATCAGATATAATTTCTTGTTCCATATACTTATTGTTGTTTATAAGATAACTTTACGAAAATCTGTATTGCATCAGCCATAACAATGAAATTGCAGAAAAGTCTTGGCATAGGATTTTATTCCAAAGATAGAAATTGGACCTAAAAGTTATTCAGAAAGTACATAAGATGTGTCTTGAATACCTAGTACAAAACATAAAAATGTCATCCACGTAATACCGTTATTTATTTTACCAAAATTATTTTTGTACGCCAGGGTTCTGTTCCGTTCCGCGTTCCAGCTGTTCAACGTCATGAGCGTGTGGCCGGTGTAGTCAGATGTTGTGTGTCTAGAGAGAATTTCCAGATTTATTACTTGAAGGTTGGTCTTCGGGGCTGAATTACATAAATTTACTTGAATATATGCATATGTTGCGTGTGTCTGAATGATTGCCAAGGAGAAAAAGCGACTCCTTTTCGTCACATGTTAATTGACGACCTCGTGAAAGTTGGAGCCAAAGAGACCCTACAGATGGACAGTTCAATTTATTTATTATTTTTCCGCATGAGCCCTTTTCGGAAAAGATTGTCCATAGTTATCGGGAACGGGTTGACTACGGGCGTCTTTTGTGTGACATTAATATTTTAGCCCTCCTCTTACCACTCCCCAAAGACCTACCAAAATCATTCAAAAAAGATAATTACTCTTGCACATATTTTTGTTACAGCTATACGGAGAAACATACAAGTTCTTTAAGGTTAACAGTACATGTATTAGAGAGATTTATAGATTTTATATTTTTTTCAGTATCTCAACAAATGGCCATATTTCCCATTGACCAATAATTATAGTGAAAGTTCGATACATTTGGTATACCACTAAATCCTTGGTTAATATTTAGAGTATGGATGCACTAAGCTAGAATACAATAGGATTTTCTTGAAGAAGAGAGAAAGTTACAGTTGTAAGTACAAGGAGTTATCTGTGGACATGATTGGTAATGCCACAGGTAAGGAAAAAAGGCCTTGGGACATACAACTTGCAGTCCAAGTCCACTCGATATTCCTGAGTTTCAGTTTTATCATAGCATGCATAAGGAGGTGAAGAAAATGTTTTCTGGGGTGTTGGAGGGCAGAGCCTCTTATCAAGCCTCACCTCGGGCAGTGCCTAAAGGGCACGCCCAGTCATGTAATTTTGTGGATTCGAGATGGGAGAGTGCACCTGCATTTTAAAGAATTACCTAATACTTCACCGAGGAAAGAGTCCATTTGAACACGGTATGCTTAGGTTTTCTCAAATTATAGCAAACAAAACAAGTTGAATCAGCAATAAGTTTTTAAGATGCATTGAAAAGCTTTTTGACCCTAGTTTGGTGGTGTGTGGTTTAAATATAGTAGTGCTTTTGCAACTTACATTAATGAATGGGAGAAAAGCCCTCGTCTAATTCTTATGAGACGAGACCTGTAGTTGTGCAGAAGTTGGGCATCAAGGTTGGTTTCTTACTAGTCT